ACTGGCCTGTGCCCGTGCTAGCCGCTACCATTGGGACGTTTCACTACCAGAGGGCAGACGGTAACCCAGCGGCAGCAAGGAGGCCGATCGCTTCCCCCCACAGCCAGCCATTGATAGGGTTAGAAGGAGGGTTCTGCTAGAGGACTCCCTCATTCCCACCTGCTGGTTTTCTCCTCGCCCACCAAAGCAGTGACGGCTGTTGGCACGGTGCCTATGCTGGCCTGGTAAATGATTGCTTGTGTGAGAATCCAGCAAGGCCGAGACACAATGAGTGACCTACATTTCTGGAGCAGCCTGAGGCCAGCGTATCTGCTTTCTGCATTCTGGGAGAAAACCGCAGAGTCAGTGGGCTCCGTCCTCCCTCCTTGTCACTGCTCCAGAGCCCACATGCTTCCCCATGTCCTATGAGGCGATGGCGCTAGGATCCCAAGGGGGCTCGTCAATTGCGCTTTGATTTCCTTGAGCTGAGTGGAAACAGCCGGGAATGGGGCAGAGTCCCGTTTAGCCACCGTTACGGGTGCTGGAAGCTCTTTGGGGTGTGCAGCGTCCTTTGGTTCTGTTTGTACAGCACGTAGCCCAGGCGGGCCGTGATCTGTGACCAGAGCGCCTACGCACTCCTGCGATATTCCGCGTATTCGGGCAGCTCAGGCTTTATTGCAGTCGGTGCTTCGGAAGCTAATTGCAGCTCGGGTCCCTGTTGTAGTGTATCATGCCATCTACCTGGAGGAGCTGACGGCAGTGGAACTGACAGAAAAAATAGCCCAGCTCTTCAGTATCTCCTCTCGACAGATCAGCCATATCTACAAACAGGGGCCTACAGGAATACACGTCCTGATCAGCGACGAGGTACGTGCCTCTTGGCGCCTCGCCTGGAGGGATTGCCGTGCCATGGCGGCTCAGTCGCTTTAAGTCCGTGGCACATCTGGTCTGGTTCTCTGATCTCTGTCATGGGCAAACGTACTAAGGATTCCAAATAGACAGCAGTGGTTTGACTATTAACCCTTTCCAAGTAGGGGGCTTGAATTTACTGTGGTATGACAGCTGAGAACACACATGCTACTCGCGTTCCTCCGTGTCAGAGAACTTCTCCTCCTCCACCCAGCCCTACAAAGCAGGTGTTAGCCCCATTTTACAGATACCCCGGGGGGGGGGGGGGAGAGTCCTGGCTTCCAGTCCTGCACTTAAGCCATGCTACTTAAGGTCTGATCCACCCAGTGTTTTAAAGGAGAGTTCGAATTGCCCATTTAGAGTGGGTTTCTCCGATTGCTTTGTGTGCAAGGAGTCTGAGTCTTTGTGCAAATAAAACTCCTTTGAATCACTTTTGCAATGTAAAGGAGCCTTAAAATTGGCACCTTTTCACTGTCAGAGCTGGGAAGGAGCCTTGGTGTAAATGAGTCAGGCTCACAGTGGAGTATTCTCCTAACTGCTGACCCATCCTGTCTACAGGCAAAGCACTGAATGAGCTCTCAGATCCATCGAACTCCTGTGGGAACCACACAGCCCTTGCTTCCCAGAGCAGCTGAGCTGCTAGGAGAGGCAGTCAGCTGCAGCCTGTGTGTTACCCAGGGACAAGGCTGCTTGAGAGGCTAGGATATGAGATGCCCAGCTGGGCTTGCCACCTGCTCAGACCACTCATCTAGTGCTGGCCCTAACCGGGGAGGGGGGAGGTAGGTGCTGCACTGCAGTGGTTCCTGCCATCCACTTGCAGCGCAGTCTCTAGAAGAGTGAATGAAGCTTTTAATCGGTGCCTCCCTGCTGGCAGTGGGCTCTCACGTTCGGGACGTGCCGCAGGAAACAGAGCCTCTGCCCTGAGTCGAAAAATAAATGCTAATGGTCCTGGCCGAATGCTGCCTGTCCAGCATATCAGAATATCGCCACTCCCCCTCTGTTGTAAGCAGACTGGCACAGGGCAGCCGGCCCTTACAGGAAGCTGAGCCTCAGACCATCTGCGACAGGCTTGTCCCGTCACCCCAGGCGTCGACAGTGAGACGTGGCACTCCGCCAGGCACTGCTGGTCCCTGCGGAGAGAAGGGAGCTTGAGAGAGAGTGCTGGCTGCAGCTTCCTAGGCTTCTACCTAGTCGTATCTCCCTCCCTCCCATAGCTGGGGAAGCAAGCGAAGGGGAATTGGGGCCTATCTACTCTTAGGGGGCCATCATGTGTGTGCGCTTCACACTGTCTCTCTGAGGATTTGGGGTGGAACTTCTGTGCTCACGTCTAGAGTCCTAAAATCTACTCTTCTCCTTGTCTGGTTTGGTTCTGTTGCATTTCAGAGACCTCTCCCCCGGTAGGTGGGAGGGAGGGGCAGTGTTACTGCCGGTGTGTTCTGTAAATCCCAAAGCACTGTAGCGACTGAGAGGCCGTGAGCTCTTTCATGCGCGCCATTGAGTAACTGCTTACGTGAAATGTGAGCCTTGTTCCTAAACTCAAACGCTGGCTAATGGATTCAACTGATTTCATGGCTTCTTTCAGATGATACAGAACTTCCAAGATGAATCGTGCTTTGTCCTGGACACAATGAAAGGTAACTGGATTCATTCAACGTGCCATTATAAACCAGTCTGTGTGCCTCTCCCTCCTTCATTTCTCTTCTCCAACCACTTGTTTGGCAGTCTTGGTCTAGAAAGAGGCACACTGACTTTCACCTTCTTTCCTTGTCTTACTGGGGAGGTCTTACCCTGCTCTGCTTTCTTTGCAGCTGAAACCAACGATAGCTACCACATCATCTTAAAGTAAGAGGGAACTGGACTAGGAGAGCCTGTAGCCACCTCTCGTCACACACAAAGACCCTCGCCTGTTGCACAAGGATGCAAGCAGAGATCAGAAAGTCACGGCAGGCTTCTGTAAAGATCCTGATCTTTGTTGTTACTGCGCTGTACCTTCGGGCAGGTGACGCCCTGCCCTGCCCTGCCCATTGCTCTTCTGGCATGTAGCCTGCTGCTGATGCTAGTGCACTGCTTAACCTCTGACGTTTAAAATGGAAGTAGTTGCAGACGTGAGGCTAAACGGGCCAGGTTGCGTTGTCCTTCGCTATTGATAGAAACTTACCTTTGTGTCTTATGGGTTTAATGATAAGTGGGTTACACTTGGAGGGGTGTTGGCTTCCGTCACGTGCTGGAGCCTTGCACGTGAACATCTATTCTAATAACTCAACCCAGCAACCTCTCTGGCATACACAGCAACCCCTCAACCCCTTCCCTCCCTTCACAAACCTTCCAGCTGCACTGGGGGGCAGACGGGGACTACTTTTTTTTTAAAGCTTCTCTTTGAAGTTGTCAGACATCTGCATTTTAAAGGTGTTATTCTCATTCCTCCAATCCCGGGAGGTTTAGTGTGTCTGTCTGTCTGTCTGTCTGAGACAGTGTGATTTGATCCTAGTTCTCTCCTTCCTGTCAAGACTATCAGGAACTCCAGTCTCATGGATTTATAAGGTCGCCCTCTATATGGACGAGTGTGGCTTGACTCTTAAAGCTCACATGACTTTGAGGAAAAAATGAAATTTGAGGATGAATTAGCTAATGATATGGTCTGTTTCCCATATGACTCTTTTTTTTGTTTGTTTTGTTTAAAAACATAAAATTCGTGATCTTTGGGGTGGAGGGGAAGTGAAAAACCTCTGGTGCACCTTCATTGGCAATGGGTGACATTTCATCGGCATATTGACTTTTATGTCTCATTAACCTGGAACAGCCGGGAACCAGCACTGAGAGAGATTTACATAGCAAGAGCCTGCAGGCTGTGCTTAAAGCTACTGACAACTTCATGATGCCAAAAAGCCTACATATAGATTTCCAGGACAGCAGCTGCTGGGTCTCTTGGGCTTAAAAAAACCCCTGCTTTCTAAAACAGATGCCTGAGCATGTGTCCCCTCTTTGTGAGAGCACCTAGTATCACTTGAAAAAAGATGCCCTAAATAAAAAGCAACTTCTAATAAAGCGGGGCCTGGATTGATATTTGCCCAGGATGTCAGGTTTTTGAGTAAATAGATGGTTTTTATAAACAAACATGAAATATTTTTACAAGAAACATAATACAAAGCAGATGTGTTCAGATGATTAGGTTATGACATTAGCCATCACCAGGCAGGAAATGCCCGGTTCTGAGTTGGATCAGAAAAGGCCTAGCTAGTGGGGAGGTAATGTTGTGTATGTGCACGTCTGACAATCGTATCTTCATAGTTTCAAACAGCTGGAATACTGACTTCTCCTCTTAGAACCCTAACAAACCTCTCTGGTCTCTCTTCCCCCCTGCCTCCATTCATGGGAATAGCCTACAGATGGCAACCATGATGTATCTATTCCAATCCCCCCCCCCCTTCCCTCTAAATATGATGGCTTCCGTAGATGCTATTTAGTGATGCGTCTGTGAGCCTTTATCTCCCGACTGGATTTGAGATGATGAAACAACTCAGCGGAGGCCCTGCATGAAAGGTGCTGGAACTCTTTGCTCCCAGTTCCTTTGCGGAGACGTGTCAGTGCCATATCTTTGGCGTCACTGCGGGTGAAGAGCTAGAGATGCTGAACGAGACATATCCCCTCCAGGGTGATGGCGAGTTGCTTTTCAGGACAATATGAGAGAACATGCTGTTTTGTACCTGTCGTGGGGACAAACAGAGACTTCGGGACAGGCTCAGTGTTGCCACCCAGGGCCGAATTCGCTTAAATGCCAAAGTGGTGGTTTTCCCCTGGGTTTTGCTTTAAAAAGACTCTGAAAGCCCCTTTATATCATGGCCTCATTGTGGACAACACCCAGCATTCTCCCTCTACCTGACTTTTGGATGGCGTATGTCCTATTTGTCACGTTTGAATCTTGAGCTGAGAGATAAACACTCTGAAATTGCTGTGGCTCTGTGTTGTGTCGTGGATCTTTGCCTAATAAACGTGGAGGCCTTGGCCACTTAAATCAATGAGGGTAAAGAGGCCAAGAAAAGCCTTAAAACAAGTTGGAGTAATTTCACCTGCTTTCTCTGCTGAAGATCAGCATGTGCTACTGATGAATTGGAAGGACTGTGAACTCTGCATACAGAGGTGTTATGCTTTTGGCAACTGGCCTTTTTGTATCTGTTTTACTACATCAGTGATAGATTGGGAAGATACCTGTATTTTAATCTGGGTGGGGGGTGGGTTCTTGGCATGCAAGAGGCACAATAGAAAATGTACAGTAGTGACAGACTTGTTGAACTTTTTGTATCGATGTTTCTGGGTGCATACAGATTCTTAATTAATCCATTGACTGAAAACATAAACTTAATTGTGCATCTGTATTGTTAGCCTCCAACTGCTCATTCAAGAATCCCTCAAGAGTAGGGTGAGAGGGCGGATCAGCCAGAGGTTCACCTCTTCTCCCCCTGAAACATAATGGCCAGTACTGGAAATAAAAGGTAAAATAAAGGGGAAATCGAAATCCCCTTTGTCAACTGCTTCTTTGCCTGAACAGCTTCATTAAATCAATCACTTGACTTCCTTATAGCTAAGCACTAATTAAATGGAGAGGAAAACTTCCATGTGAATTGAGGCCCAAATTTGGATTTTTTTTTTAAAAGAGCAAAAATTGTTTGATGGTCCCATTCTTCATCCGCTGGTAGGGATAAGTGACAGTTACTGAATATGTGGAAAAAGCTAGTGGCATGCTGTGTACAAAATTCCTTCATTGAAACTGGGCCCTCGCTTGCCTCCCTGGGCCCTGTTTCATTTGACACCGTCCATCCAATGTGCTTCATATTTATATTGTGAAAAGGTTTTTTTTTTTTTTTTTTTCCAGACTGATTCCTACTTGATGGAAAACAGTGTTGCTTGTTGTCTTTCTGCCTGCCCTTTTAAGAACAGCATTTAGTAGTGTACTTTAACAAGTAGAGCTAGAAATAGGATCCCTGGAGACAGAATCCAGTTGGTGTTACGTGAATTGAAACGTGCCCTCTACAAGCTCTATAGTGGACTGGAAAAAAACTTAATTTTTTTAATTTTTTAGCTCTATAGTGGACTGGAAAAAAACTTAATTCAGTGTCAGAATTGGAATCTGCTGGAAAGCTTTTTTTATACACAAACTGATTCTTGTTTTGATTTTTTTTTTTTAACTAGGCTGAAGCTTAGATTCTACAACAGCTTTTTGGCTGAGTTGCCCTTTGACGACCCCCCCCCCTTCAGGCTACAGCTGCTCGCTAT